GGTGACATAGAATCATTAAAAAATGTGCCGCCACGTAAGATCTTGAACTAAGATCTTAAATAAAGACAGAGTGTGGTTACACCGAATAATGGGACGGAAAAGGTGGTATTGAATAACGAAACAAGAGCTGACAATCCTTTCATTTACTTATTTGCTTACTCTCTCTACACCCGCCAAACTCATATTATTATTATTATTATTATTAATAAGGTGTAGAGCAGTGGAAGCCACGTTTGGTCACCTTATCCAGTCTTGGCAAATGTAGGCCCTGGGCGATGATTGCCTCTTCTCTGATAGTGCCTCTGTCAACTTCCAGTTTGTCAACCTCTTTTTCTTTTTCCAGTTGGTCTCCAATTTTACCATGTCTGATTGGACAATCTTGTCTACGGCATTCTTAAAACATGCCCTAAACATCTCCATCTTCTTACTTGCTTGAAACTTACTTAATTTAAATGTTTTCTCAGTTGGGCGGTCAAATATCTCTAAAAATGCATTTTCTGCAACCGCATCTTGTCTTTTTTCCTTCCAATCTTGGAGATGTAATTAAGTGAGTAGGACGCAGAAAGGTGTCACCAAGATATCAAGAGAATGTATAGCAGATGACAAGGAAAGTTCAACTCAAATGTGTATATAAGGAAAATATATTATACATATGTTCAATATGTACATGTGTGTGTGTGTGTGTGTGTGTGTGTGTGTGTGTGTGTGTGTGTGTGTGTGCGCGTGTGTGAAGATAGATTATAGAAGTATAGCTCGATCGAGTGAACGATAGATAGATAGATAGATAGATAGATAGATAGATAGATAGATAGATAGATAGATAGATAGATAGATAGATAGATAGATAGATAAACAGACAGATAGATAGATAGATAGATAGATAGATAGATAGATATATAGATAGATAGATATTTCAAACTGGGAAAAGGTTCATCATACTATATCATCATAAAATTAGAACCAAATTATAACACACATCTAGTAAAACGACAAACCAAAGAAGAATTTCCAAGACAAATGTTATAGATGAATAGGGCTGAATCCCCTTTATTGTTTATTAAGATTATGTTACTATTACGAAAACTTGTAGTGGAAACATTGTCGACTCCGGTAAACATACTTCACGCTTGCTAAAGATGCACAACAGTGAATAGCACACGTACTATTGCTAAAACTACGAGTGATATTATGAATTATTATTATTGTATTACTACAGTCACAGTAAAAAGCGTTTGTTCATCTTTTTGTCAGTCCCTGTGAAAAGATGAAACATTGGCTGTTATTAAGGCATTTTCAAAAAGTTGACATTTAGATCACATAATGCGTGTGAGTAGCCATCTACACTGGGGTTTTTTTTTTCGATAAGCCAAATGTTATTTTTTTAGAGGTTGTTCGTTTGTATCTTTGTTCTGGGTGTCCCAAAACGTCTCGTAGCTCCTGGTTTTCATCTAAAATATTTATTTTAGTCTACAATAAAATAATGCTCGAATTGAACTTTCTCAAAGTGTATGTATGTGTGTGTGTGTGTGTGTGTGTGTGTGAGTGTGTGTGTGTGTGTGTGTGTGTGTATGTCTGTGTGTGTGTGTGTGTGTGTGTGTGTACGTGTGTGTATGTATGTGTGTGTGTGTGTGTGTATGTGTGTGTGTGTGTATGTATGTATGTGTGTGTGTATGTGTGTGTATGTGTGTGCGTGTGTATGTGTGTGTGTATGTGCGTGTGTGTGTATGTGTGTGTATGTGTGTGTGTGTGTGCGTGTGTGTGTGTGTGTGTGTGTGTGTGTGTGTGTGTGTGTGTGTGTGTGTGTGTGCGCGTGTATCCAGTGATGTCTCAAAGAAACTTCAGAATGAATTTACATCATCAACGTGTTAAAGCCTTGCTCTATCCCACTCATTCAGCATACTGATTTAAAACTAAATAATTCTGCATAATAATGTAACACATTAATGTTACACCTACGATGAGAGTCACCCAAGGTAGTATGGTCACTCAAAATTAACTTTAAAAAATCAGAGTTGGTAACGTTTTGTGAAATATAAAAAAAGAACTGAACTTAAAAGTGTGTTTAGGCCAGCATTGAGGTCCATCAGCACTGGTGGAATAAACGTGTAGTGCATATCAAATGAATGGAGAGTTTTGCCACAACAATGAACATTATATTTTTGTAAAATGATAGTTTAAAAAAAAGTATGGAAACAGAGGATAGGAAAAGGACTAGCAATTTTCAAAGTCTTTTTCCAAGAGAGTACAAAATCATGGAGTGATTGTTATTAAGTAACCGTTTCAATCATATAGACAGGGTGGCTTCTAATTTCTCCCCCCCCCCCCCCCCCCCCC